ATATTGATCTATCTTGGAATGATAGTGTACCATTGACATGTAGTCTAGAATCATTGGTGAATGTACCAACAGCACTCTCTTTGAATGAACATCCTCCTTCTATTACTATGAATGCATTGTTAGTCTTCATCGTTGCCATTCCTTGTTGATTGTACTGTCCACGAACAACCAACAATGATTGATTGGACAATGATATCGCCACAGAGTCCTGTGCAGTATAACTTCCTTCAACTTCAAAGTGTGATCCATCATTAAGTATCAACTTGGATGAGTTCTATTTTGATTGATTGGGTCAATAACATGGATGAACGAGGTGTGGATGGATGGATGTACATACAATTTGAAGTAGAGTAGAGTCAGGTGTACTGAGTCCAAGGAGTGAGGCACCTCGAACCAATACTGATGAGTTGCCTTGTAGTGTGTTGTTGGTGCAATCCAAGTACATAAAGGATCCATCATGCATATAGATAGTAGCATTGTCCTATATGGTTGTTTTGAAACATCGTTAGATACGACTGATGGACAGACATATAATATTTGATAAATGAAAGGGTATCACCTACTTTGATTGTGAACAACTTGGTGATGAACAGGGCGAAGGTATGATCCAACTCAAAGGTTGTGCTTGAGGATAATAAGATGGTGGAGTTAATGAATGCATTGAATTGATTCTTACTAAAGTTATTAAGGTCATAGTATGTTGATGTTGAGAGGTATAGTGTAGCATTATCATTCAGACTTAGTGTCATATTATCAAATGTCACTTGTGATTCACCTGTTGAAAAAAAAAAAAAAAAAAAAAAAAAAAAAAAAAAACAAAAAAAAATTATAAATGAAGTATTGGCCAAACCTATTGTTGATCGATCCTATCAAATGAGTTAGTATCCATATGGTANNGGGACAGTATGGTATAAATATTATGGAATTTTGTAATGAATTCAATCAGGAGACACTTCAATTTGAGAAAGGAAATACTTTAAAAGTTATATTATACATTAATATAGTGAAAGCTTTTTATTTTGAAATAGAATTACCAAAGGTTAGTTATTTATTAAAAGAACTATTTAAAGCGGAATTTGCTAAAACAGGATCTTCGAAGATATATATAGAGAAGGAGGTATTATTGCGAAATTTTTT